CCTAGAAGAACATGAAAATTATCTATATTTTTGTATAAGCTACGAATGTTTTGAGTGAGAACAGTTAGTGATTTTGAGAAGTTGGATACATAGCTTTTGCAATCTTCAACCTCACAAGAAGTGGATATGTTTGAAAAGGAATCGTCAATTTCATTAATTAAGTTAATGGCCATTTAACAAGTAAACTTAGATCTAAGATTAAGAAAAAAGAGTGGCGCTCTTAGGCGCCTTCATAATTTACCGAATTCATGTACCTATTTTCTGCTGCTTTTTTAGCTGGGCAGTCAATATCACCAGTTTGATGGTTGCTCGGCTTTTTGAAGCGGGCGCAAGTAGCGCACTTCGGCGGAGCTCCTTTCTTAGGGCAGTCTTTGATAGAGTGGCCCTCATCTCCGCAGTGACCACATGTTGGAGCGGCAGCCTGGCACGACTTGGCTGCATGACCATACTGCTGGCAGTTGTAGCATCTGGTCACTATAGTAAAGTCTCTCACAGGGCAGGATGTCCAGTTGATGAACACTCTATCTTGCGTTATAAGGGCTTTACGTAGGGCGGCTGAAACTTCAATGATGAAGTTGCAGTGGTCGGCGTCTCTCCTTCCTGATTTATGGCTTAATTTTATTGAAGCCAGGAAGGCATCACGGGACAAACTGGGAAGCTTTTCAGAAACGTTTTGTTCAAAAATACATTTGAATACTTCCGGCTCAGTCATTGAGGTCGGGATTCCTAAAACAATAAGTCGCGGATTACGTTTCTTCGGCTCATCAACGGTAAGTCCTGTGGAAGAGAGCTGGACTGATTTCTTCAGCTTTTCTAAGTCCTCTTTTGTTTCAGTGCTAATAATGACACCGCCGTTACGTATCTTGCGAACGCCACGTACTTTTAGATTGATGTCTCCTGGGCAAATGGCTTTTTGAACAATGTTCTTAGTTTCGTCGCTGGTCTTTGATTTATCACTAGGATAAATTGCAACAGAGCTTAAGGGGCTTGGACGTACAAAGTTGTTGGTACCTTTTTTCACCATGTCGGCAAAAGAGCTATTTTGTGGCACGGATTTGGAGCAGGATGCTTTTATCGTCTCTTTAATTTGCGTTAAAGAAACAGCAAGGTCATTTTTTTCTTTGAGGTCTTGTAAGGCGTAGTGTTGGATCAATGCCTTATTCTTCAGGGCTTGGTATTGCACAGTGACGTGGGTGAAGCCTTGGGATACTTTTCGGCAGAGGTTGCTAATTTTCAATTTCTGTTCGGAGTTCAGTTTGCCCTCGGAAGAAATATTGCAGATTTCTTGTAGGTATCTCTCAACTGACCCGGTCCATTGGTGAAGATCTGATGTAGTTACAACTTCTGGAGGGTCAATTTGGGCTGGTTGTTCCCGGCACGGTGTTGTCGGCGGAGGGGTGCGGCGAGTAATCCCGCTCCGGTTAAAGGGGCTGCTGTCCATATTACTCGTCGTTGTACACACTTATTGTCATAATTAATCAAATTATAGTTTGTAGCACTTAACTCACATATAAAATTAAAGTCAAAGTAAATACCAAACTAGGTCACTATTATTTTAATTCTTCAATTAAGCAATATTATTTTGCATCGATGTACACGTCTATTCGCTTTTGAAGTAATGTCAATAATAACTTAATCAGGCATTATGAAGAAGGTCCTCAAAAACTAGAGTCTGTTGGGAAAAACCTAACGGGTTATTGGGGCTCCGGCTCGAAGTGCAGGAGAAGGAACGGGGTGGTTTTTAGTCAGTAAGAGTCTGACACTTCCACCTCATCCAGGCGGGAGAAGCCATTCAATGATTTTCCGCCCTTAAAAAAAGACACTAGAGTCTCACTCACAAGTTGCCACCTCGATACGATAGTGACAACTGCAATTCCACAGTTTATATAAAAGGTTTCTACATTTTCACGATTTGGCGAGTCGCCAGGATATCTTTGTCACCAAAGCTTGTAACCCGATATGTAAGTGAAACTGAGTTTGCTAGCCAAATTGAGACACTTTATTGTGGGTACATACTATATGGATACCTACATCATGTATGTTCGTAGTGCATTCTGTATTGCACGATTTTGGCATGTTAAAACGTGCTGTTGTTAGAGTTATTGACTTTGTATGCGATTTGACTGACCAATAGAGGCGGTCTCTTTGACTAGTTCACACCATTCCTCATTGGTGCTTTAGCTGAGAGTAATTTTCAAAGAGGTTGTCTATTGTCATGGCTAATTTTTCTAACTAAATAAATTATTATGTTTTCGGCTTACTCACTTAATTATCAGTAGCAAAGTGACAGTCGCTGCGTCGCTGGTCGCGAAATGCTGCTCATGAATACGAGCCTCTAGCATGGCTTGAAACTAGTCGAGTTACTCGTCAAATAATTACGTGAGTAAGCCGAAAACATAATAATTTATTTAGTATGTCTCACGAAAGTTATAATACAATTTTTTCTAACCATCACTCTAAAACATTAATGCAGTTAGTTTTGAGCATAATCCTACTACTATTAGTATTAGGAGGGTATAACAAATGTGAAAGTTTGTGAGAATCTATGTGTTTGTTATTCCTTCACGCCAAAACGGCTAAAAGGATCGAGATGAAATTTGGAACAAGGGTAGATTATCGTCTGGAATAACAGATAAGCCATTTTTTATTCCACAGAAATGAGGGCGAAGTCACTGGCAGAAGCTAGTACATAATAGAAATGATGACAGGGTATGAAAATTAAAAATCTAATTAGTCCATCAGTTAGGTAATGAAAAAAATTTAGACACGTATTTTTTTATTTTGTCATATTAGAAAAGAATACTTACATAAATCGAATAAACTTTAGACTCCCACTCGGGAGGTAGCTACGTCATTTTAGAGTATAAATCGTACTCAAAAGTGATGTCATGCGATATTTCAAATCGATAAATCTTGGAAACTATTAGTTTCCGTAAGACAATAAAAACACGTGTTCAATGTTCTTAAATAGTCTACTAGGCGGGCGTTAAAATAAAAATTAGTCATCTACCCTATTATGATAAGTTGGTACAGGTGAAAAACTATTAGAACTGCTTCATGACAATACAGACATTTCTCTTTAAATTCTTCAAGGACGTCTTTACTACACCATTTCCTAGACACCCGCTTACCTAGGTGCCCAAAAATGTTCTCACTATGGCCTCTCTCCAATTAGGGTGGGTCCGATTTGTGAAATTGACTGAATACTTGAGCGCGCCGTCATTACGGTTAAATCAGGTTCGCGCTGATTCCGCTCGTCTCTGAATAAAAATCTTTGCTTAAATAAGCGAAAATAATGAAACGTAAACGTGGATGTCCACCTGCCACTTGACGGAGACTTGTCCAGATTATATAGGTAAAGAAAGAGAAAAAATCTAGATTGAATTAAATGTCTTGCTTGATGAGAAAAGCTAATGTTTTTGTTCCTGTGACAATTTTCTGTTTCCAATTTTGCGTAGACTATTTTATGCTGCACTTACAGTATGTAGGTATTGTAAAAAAATCAGAAATAATTAATTTGTAACAATGTAGCCGAGAACCTAACGGGTAACCGGGGCTCCGGCTCGACGTGCAGGAGAAGGAACGGGGTGGTTTTTAGTCAGTAAGAGTCTGACACTCCCTTCCGCCTCACCCAGGCGGGAGCAGTCATTCGATGATTTCCCCCCTTAAAAAAAATAGCCTTAAATCTGTACAAACAAGGCGTCAAACATCAAACACAAGGCGATTCGATTGAGATATTTATCTATTTAATATTGAGTATTAAATTAACGTACATTTTCTCAACATGATAGAAAATACATCAAAATATAAAAAAACATACTGACAACCCAAGTAGCTCATTTACAAAGATATTTTCTGCATGAACATAACATTAATAGCTAGCCACGAACGATCTAATGCGACATTAGCGTGCACTAATGTGCTGACTCCCCAAGATTTGCCTCACGGCGCGGCGCAATGTTTACAGATTCTGTTGATATAATACTATAATTTGTATAAGAGTATAGTTTGGTATAAGCAAATACCAAGTGATTTAAAATGTTTATTTAGATATATTGTAGTTAAACACCTTGATGTCACAAGTAAATTTTTTACCTTTTGTTTTTTAAATTAGGCAGTAGAATCGAAATTATAATTTCAAATAATATTGTAGGTATCTATGACAGTCCATTTGTATGAAACAGTCAATACTTTTACAGTAAAAATAGCTATTTGATAAACATTTAATAGAAAAATATGATAGTACACATACGAATGTTCCTAAATAACAAACAAAATAACTACAAATATAATTCATGAACTAACAAAAAATGCGTAAAATTTTGTCACATTATGACTTGACGCAACTTACGTGACATACTGACGCAACAAGAGGCGTTCGCGAGTCATAATACATAATACCCAGTAATCCCCCATCACTTGCAGGCGAAGGGTAAGCCAGGGTAAAACAGGGTAAAACGGGGTAAAACAGGTCGAGGGCGTCGCGTCAGGAAAATGTGTTACCTTGTGACTTAGATTATGTGTAGGTCAAGATACGGCAATGCCGAGTTTTGTACGAAAAAAAGGAATTTAATTTAAAGGAATAAGGTTTCTTTTACTGTGTTTTATTTAATATTTGGTAACTGCCTTTGTATGATTAATAGGTACCTAGATATTATGGGAAATTGTGTTGCTTTTAAAGTGAATACAGGGAAATACGTGAATGTTATACGTTTATTTATATATAGGTACATAGTTTCTATATAAATAAACGCATGTAAACGAATAAATAGGTATTCTTCTGTTAGGTTTCAGAATTGTAAAAATAAAATATAGATACATTTTTTTTGAGATCATATTTTGGATTGTCTAACACTTCACATATCTGCACAGATGAAGTGGCATTTAGTTCGGTGAGGTTTATTAAATGGTGTTGCGGCAAAATAAGTCAATAATTTGTAAAATACCAAAACAATGGCTCCCAAATTATTCAAAGTTAACACCTAGCTAAAATTAAATACTAAATATTTCGAACTGATTTTTTTTAACTTTCCCAACGAAAAATATTCGAAACTAAGTTTTAACAGTAATTAACCTATTTCCGTAACTTGTTGCTTCAAGCTAGGCTGTTGACACGTTTACGATGGGCTAGTCACTAGTTATAACAATTTTTCAAGCAATTCTTCAGTCTAGGTAACAAGGCTCTGAATATTTTGAGTAATGTCTAATTCCAGTGTTTGAGATTATGAATGTTTTGAGTGATATATTCATAGTCTGATATCATAGTCATGATCTAACTTCATATTGTGATATCCCAATTCAAATAAGATTGAGACATTGACCTACACTTGAATTTAAATTACAGCTGAATGAATGAAATAAATTTAATCAATATTAAGCCTTATGTTCTAAGAATTAGTGTCGACATACGCCAGTTTCTTTTCGATTTATCTATATCTATATGTAGGTACGGTTGTGGATATAAATCGATCGAAAATTTTAATAATTTATTTTGTGTTTAACCATGTTCCAAAAAAGGAGGAGGTATCTGTGGTCAACAGTGACTGTTTAACTTTGTCTCTGCACAGTATTATTTAAAGTTTTGTTATGACGTAACATGCTTATTTATTATTATTTTTTCAGTTATATCTACCTCCTAATCTGACAGTATTCTTTTCTTTTTTCTTTTTTGAGGGGGAATATCATCCAATATCTGCTCCCACCCGGGTGAGACAAGAGTGAGTGTCAGACTCTTACTGACTGTGACTAAAAACCACCTCGTTCCCACTCCTGCACTTCAACCCGGAGCCCCGGTAACCTGTTTAATCCTCCGCGGCTCCGTATCGGCATCAGCCCTGTTAGGAAAACAAGATAAACAATTAAAAGTTGGAAGTGGACTCATTAATAGTTGCGCGACTGCTAAAGATTCCAATCTAATTAGTAATTACGTTACTACAAAAACTATTTAAGATAGGAACTGAGAATGACTAACTTTAAAAAAATAATAAGGTTTTTAAGCTAAGGTACAGTTTGCTAAGCGCAAGTTTTGGTTTCGGGTTATGCAAAGGAATTCTTTTCATGCATGCTCTTCGGTTAATAGTTCTTTTAATTTGGCCTTTCTTTAATATATTGCCAATCTGGTCAGTATTTGTATGTCTAGAGCGCCCTCTGCAGACGGCCCCATTCATATTCGTCCATATGTTTTAGCATAAGTTTAAATAAAAATGATCACAGAAGAGCAGCTGAGTACATTACTACAAACCGGGGCGGGTCTGGGAGCCAATGGAGAAGGAATAATGAAGATGATAATGATTTCAGTGATGTCCCCAGTACTTCTATCATACATTATATACCTTTAAAGAGATAGTATTATTGACCCAAAGGTATTCATTTCTGCCCATGATTCAGTTTTCTAGGACAAAATTTCTAATTAAAAGCACCCTTAACCGACGAGCATGCCTGAAAAGACCTATGACTGTTGAGGAAGCGAAAGAGGTATGTGTGAATTGTAGCAATTGGCGTTCCATAGTCCCCATGGGTTACAGGCGTGAAGTTATGTATGTACGTGAGATTATATAAATTTTTAATTTAACAAAATCATCAGTAGTTAATGACT